CATCGAGCTCGTGCCGGTCCAAACGGCCCTCGGAACCTTAGGGATGGGGTGGCCAAGGGAGGTGGGGTGCACGTGCCACCTTTGCCATTGCCTGTGCCTCTACATATGGATGCTGCAGATGCCTTATCTAGGGATACACCTCGGCAGGTAAGCATGGTATGTCTCTCTCCGATCGTCCGTGTTTCGCCTCCTTGCATGGTAAAGGGGTCAGATGATCAGCTACGTGGCGAAAATACGAACCTAACAACACCTTTAGGAGGGGACTTCTAAGTCCCCTCTAAGTCCCCTCCAGTGACTGTTGCTTTGCATTTTTGACTTCGTAGGACTATAAATACCTGTGCTTGGGCTTAGGCTTAAAAGAGCCTGCCTAACGAAAAAGTTCTGGTTTTTCACGTTAGTCTGGTGTAATAATGTCACTTATTTTACCATCCTTCCCAAAAATATGATCTCCTGCTTTCACTATTTGGTGGCGAGTGGTGGCACTAGTAGTAAATTTTGACTTCAACGTTAGCATTATAGAGTTACACATTTCGATCGATAATCGAGGCAACATGCGCAGTACAAATCCAAGTATTTTCCTCTGCTTCTCAATCCTTGCCTAGCGTAAGTGTCCAGCCGACATTTTCGCCGACCTCTCGGCGCGGTGAACACTATGAGAGTTATCGAGTTCCTTGCATTTTCAGACTGTGTGCAGGCACACACTGCTCCGTCGCACTACTTCACACGGGAGCAACTGCCTTCAACTTCAAAGCCAACACTCTGCTTCTGTTCGCAAATCACCTGCACGCATGTCACTTCCTGGCAACAAATCAGCTCCTGTTCACAGATCACCTGACGCCAGCAAACCTCCTTCTGATCACATCCCTCATCTGTCACCGGCAGGTCACCGGCAGGTCACCGTCCGCTGCAGACACCCGCCACAAGACCATGCCGTCCGCGACGCTCCGTGCCGCCCTGATCGCCTCCGTAACGCTGGTCGCGTGCTGCGAGCACTTCTCGCGACAGCCGGGCTCGCTCTCGGGCGACCTGCTGGCCGTGACGACGGCCCGGGGGCGGCTCCAGTGCGCGCTGCGCTGCCGGGACTGGCAGAGCTGCGAGGCGTTCACCAGCGCCCCGAACGGCAGCTGCCTCCTCTACTCGGGGTTTATGCTACGAACGGATGTCTCTGGTGCGGACGAGGGGATAGTCAGCTATGAAGCGCAGCTCAGGCTGTCGCTCATGGTGGTCCATGAGGTTCAGGGACAAGTGCTTCATTGTTAACCGGTACTCCTTGGTACTATTCCCCCTGGGTGTCTTGGCATGAGGCTAATGCCCATTGTGAATATGATGGTGGACATCTGCCGATTCCAACTGACGTTGCCGATTTAAAGTTCTTGAATGATTTCCAACGGAATCTAGTTCAGGTGCGTTCCTCCTCGGGTTTCACATGGATTGGACAGTTCTTCGATGACGCGGTTGGACAGTGGCGAATTGTAAATGGCACAAGCGCTGTCATAGTGCCCCGTGAGCCCGCCGTGAATGAATCCTATGGTTACATTGACTTGCGGTATCCCGGTTTGGTCTTCGGCAATTCGCTACAACAAATTGAAGTTGATTGCATAATCTGTGAACACCAACCCTGGTGGTAAATTGATGGTGATATGCGAATTTATGATGGCTGAAAGAGAGCGAGAGAGAGAGAGAGGAGAGGATATGGAGAGGAGGAGAGAGGCGAGGAGATGATGAGTTGACGGGAGAGAGAGAGAGAGGAGACGAGAGGAGAGAGGAGAGAGGAGAGAGAGAGAGAGGAGAGGTACGCGAGAGAGAGGTAGTGAGAGAGAGGAGATGAGAGAGAGAGAGCGAGATTGAGGAGAGAGGAAGGAGAGGATGAGAAGAGAGAAGAGAGAGCGAGAGAGGAGAGAGAGGAGAGAGAGAGAGAGAGAGAGAGAGAGAGAGGAGAGAGGAGAGAGAGGAGAGAGAGAGAGAGAGAGGAGAGAGGGAGAGAGAGAGGGAGAGAGAGAGAGAGGGAGAGAGAGAGAAGAGAGAAAGAGAGAGAGAGAGGAGAGAGAGAGAG